TATCGTAATGCTGTTAATTGTAAATGTACTAAGACGTACCCAGGAGCTGATATAGGCTCAGATCATAACCCGGTAGTTACTGTGATAGAGGCGAGACCAAAAACGATTAGAAGACCACACAGAAAGGCACTAGATTTAAATAAACTTAGATACAAAAATATACGACAAGAAATAGGAGAAGAAATAAATAAAAACCTCCGTTCAGTGCAACAGCAAATTAACGATACAAATAACGGTAACCAAAAATTAAAGTACATAAATACAGCTATACAAACAGCAGCAAAGAAACATCTTACAAAAACAACAACAAAGAATAAGGGGTGGATGACACAAGATATACTAGACTTGAAGGAACAAAGAAGAAAGATGAAGAATTATCCAGACAAATACAAAGAAATAAATAAACAAATAAAAAAGATAATAAAGAAGCAAAAGAGGAGTGGATTAAAGAACAGTGTGTAGAAATGGAAACCTATGAGAAAAAGTACGATGCGTTCAATATGTACAAAAAAGTAAAAGAGATAACAGGAAGCATAAAAAATGCCAAATAGGTAAACTTAAAGACAAAGATGGAAATCTCATTGTATATCTAGAGAATAAAATAAAAAGATGGACAGAATACCTAAATGAATTATTTGAAGACGATAGAAACAACTTAACTCAGATAATCAATGCAACTGGGCCAGACATATTAAAGAAGAAGTAGAATACGCAATACGGAACGCTAAAAATGGAAAAGCAAATGGACCTGATGAAATTCCTACAGAACTGTTGAAGCTTTTGAATGATAAATCCGTAACCATAATATTACATCTATTCAATACAATATACAGTACTGGTATAATACCTCAAGAATGGTTGCTGTCTACGTTTGTCACCATACCGAAGAAAACTAAGGCAATGCAATGTTCAGATCATCGAACAATCTCCTTGATGAGTCACATGCTTAAAATATTTCTTAGAGTCATCCACAACCGTATCTATCAAAAGTTAGATATCGATATTAACGATACACAGATGGGATTCAGAAAAGGATTAGGTACAAGAGAAGCTCTCTTTGCCTTAAATGTCCTAACACAGAGATGTCTAGATGTTAACCAAGAGGTGCATGCCTGCTTTATAGACTTTGAAAAGGCCTTTGACAAAGTACGCCACAATCAACTCAAAGAAATCCTGGAAGGTAAGAACATCGACACCAGACACATACAAATAATATTAAATCTGTACTGGAATCAGCGAGCTAATATAAAGGTAGAAGACCAAACATCGGACGAAATAGAAATACGTAATGGAGTACGACAGGGTTGTATATTGTCACCGCTTTTGTTTAATATCTACAGCGAACAAATATGCCAAGAAGCTCTCTCACATGCAAACGAAGGGATAATAGTCAATGGGAAGTTATAAATAACATTCGATATGCTGACGATACTGTGTTTATGGCAAGAACAGCGTAAGATCTACAACATCTAGTTGAAAGTATGAATGAGAAATGTAATAACTACGTCATAAGGATGAACGTCAAAAAAACCAAATATATGACCTTAGTAAGAATCTAATTCATGACACCAGTATCACAATAAACGGTACCCAACTTGAAAAAGTAAGTGAATACAAATACTTGGGAACCCTCATTAATGAAACAGGTGACCAAAATCTGTAAATCTGTCCGCTGACAATTTATCCAGTAGAATATTTTTCGAACTCTGGCCAGTGTTCTCTTGACTCCAAAGAGTCCTACAGAAAGATTGCTATGAAATGCTTGTAACACACTTTTAATGTTGGCAGCACTACTTGTTGAACTGTACGTAATAGACCTGTGAAAATATACAAAAGTCCCATTCAGCCCAGTATGCATTAACAGTTCCACTGTATTTGGTTTTTTTCTGTCAACTAGGTCTTACTCCATTTTTTAGCCACTTTCGTATTACTTTTAAGTCATTATCTTTCTTTTGACCCATTTTAAGGTTTTCCAGGGAAGTCTGATCATATTTTATTTCTGTATAACTCTGGTTACCTGGAGACTTACTTCTTCGAGTATGTTCTCTTAATCTTTAAGTCTTTTACAGTACTGATATTGTTGTTCCAAACAGGGTCGCTCAGAAATACATCAACATATCAATTCCTTTCCAAAGTACGAGAGTCATTATTTCAGAAAAAGGTGCAAGATAAATTATTTGAGCACAGAACTTACAATAAAAAAGATGTATTAACTATACATTGGTCAATGCAATAAAAGACATGTGGATCCAAAAGTGAAAGCAAAAAAGTGGTTGTACGCAGATATTTTTAATAAAGATTTCAAGTTGTAGTTTAAATCACCCGAAATAGACACTTGCTATATATGTGCAGTACATTCACAGCTCAATTGAAAAATAATCTTACTGCACATAATTTATCCAGTCTAAAGGCTGATTATGATGCTCACCTAATTGAATCTAAAACTCAATGGAGAAGTTATAATAGTCAATGGAGAAGTTATAAATAACATTCGATATGCTGACGATACTGTGTTTATGACAAGAACAGCGTAAGATTTACAACATCTAGTTGAAAGTATGAATGAGAAATGTAATAACTACGTCATAAGGATGAACGTCAAAAAAACCAAATATATGACCCTTAGTAAGAATCTAATTCATGACACCAGTATCACAATAAACGGCACCCAACTTGAAAAAGTAAGTGAATACAAATACTTGGAAACCCTCATTAATGAAACAGGTGACCAAAATCACGAGATAAAAAGACGTATTGAAATTGCCAGGTCTACCTTTATAAAAATGAAAAAATTATTTTGTAATCGTGATATTAGTATTCATCTACGAACTAGAATATTAAAATGCTATGTATTCAGTACTTTGCTTTACGGTGTTGAGGCATGGACTCTTAAACAGAGGAATATTAAAAATCTTGAAAGCTTTGAGATGTGGTGCTACCGCCGTATACGAAGAATAAGTTGGGTGGATAGAATTACAAATGAAGAGGTAATACGCAGAATAAATAACGATCCAGAAGTTATTATGAATATAAAAAAGATAAAACTTGAATACTTAGGCCACCTGATGAGAGGACAAAAGTACACGTTTCTACAAAATATAATGCAAGGAAAGATCCAAGGACGCAGAAATCCAGGCCGTAGAAGAATGTCCTGGATGAGAAATTTAAGAGAGTTGTTTGGGTGTACCACTAACGAATTATTCAAAACAGCAGTTAAGAAAATTAGATAATTTATCGCCATAATGATATCCAATCTCTGATAGGAGAGGCACTCAAAGAAAAGAAAGCCTTAAAATGGCTGGAAAAGGATTATGGCAGTCCTTGCTAAACTACTTATTAGATGTCTACAGAAAGCAGTAAGACCACCTTAGTTCCACAACGCAGAAATGATCCTACTTCATTAAAAAAGCGATGTTGCCGACCTCAGAAACTACAGGCCCTTAAGTCTAACATCCCATAGTTATAAACTATTTACAAAAATAATTACAAAGCGATTAGAAAATAAATTGAAATTGTCTGAGCCTAGAGAACAGGCGGGTTTTAGAAAAGGCTACGGAACAAAACGATCACCTTTTGGTGAAAAAATCTTGAAAAAAAAAATTGAATATACGCCACTAGCTCTAGTATTTGTGTATTATGAAAAGGAACCATAAATTTACAAAAAATGTTAAAAGCCTTGACAGAATGCGAATTCACTATCAGTATAACTCAAAAATTCCCGATACAATGTGGGTTCCTCGATACAACCTGAGGTTTGCAGGTGATATGGTGCTAATAGCTAATAGAATAGATGAGGCCAAAGAACTGTTAAATTAGCTCTAACTTTCCTCGTTAGAACAAGTATTGAAAATAAATATATCTCAAACCCAGATAACGACAAATCTTGATGTCAGCAAAGATATACGTGAAGAAACAAGACCCATAGATCAGGTAATAGCCTATAAGTACGTAGATCACGCGATTCTCATGGAAAAATAACAGTTGGGCTTCTTTATCGCATAAAACTGACATGGGTAGCATTCGGCAAGTTGAACTACATTCTCAAATCGTCCGATATACCAATAGGTATTAAAAGAAAAACCTTTAATCAGTGTGTTTTGTCAGTGTTGACTTACGAACCGCCAACAAACCGCCAGCTACGACGAAGATCAGAATAGCAACATTGAAGTAAATCTGGGCAAGTCCCGTGGCTAGAATGACAGGAATGACCAACTGTGGTGCCTTCCGCAGCAAAGGTCGTCCACCAACACGTTAGACTGGCGATCTAAAACGTTGCCATAAGAATTGGGTGCAAGAGACAAGATCGAAACAGATGAAAAATTGTGAGGTAGATCTATGTCTAGTAGTGGACATGCGAAGGTTAAATGATGATGTGTTAATAGTACCAAATTTAAGCAAGTTGATTAAATTAGATCCAGAATTAAGCAGGCTGGAGCCGCTTTTAGAAGGATGTCTAAGTTATTATGTACTAGAGACCTATATGTATCGAGTCATAGATTGTGAATAAAAGTTATCTAAATCGCCTTGAGGCTTTCGAAATGTGGCGATATAGAAAAACTTTAAAAGATTCTTGGGTCAAGTACTTTCAAAACCCTCCAATACAAGTACGTGTAAGCAATGCTAATGAGATTTTAAAAAGCATTAAGAAGGGAAATCCTCCCCAAATTTGGGTTGCTAGAAAATACTAGGCAAAGGCAGTCCAGGATGAAGAAGGACTTCATGGTTGAAGAACTTGCAAGATTGGTATGATATTGACACAACCATGCTATTTAGGGTGGTACTAAATAAGATTAGGACAACTATAATGGCAACCAATGTTCTGAAAGGATATGGTACCTGAAGAAGATTTTTTAGATACATTTTAGGTCACAAAAATTCACAGTTCCAACGCAATGCCTTATATAGAGTAAAAATAATCAAATTATTAAATTATCAGTTAGCAAACAAATGGAAAACTAAAAGATATAAATTTGTCAATAAACTTTTGTAAACAAACTTACTTTTTACACTTATAGACGATGGATTCTCATCTTGCTCAACAGGGGAACTTGTTGGTAAAAACTCTGGACAACAAATGTAAAGTTCGGGTTCTTCCTCCTGGCAAAAATTAATATCGGTGTTTTTCAGCAAACTAAAAACTCCGCTGCAAGCACTTATTGGCTGACAAGTACCCTGTAGGCCTCCAATAGAACACTCTGAAATCAAAACAACCCAATTATTTTTTTTAGATTAGCTAATGAAACAGCGCTTTAACATTTTGAATGTAAACTGAATTTATATAAATTGCATTTTGTCTTAGATTCCGGACGATCTTGGTACTGATAAATCTGATATTTTTCAATAGAATATTTTACATAATATATATATATATATATATATATATATAATATATATATATATATATATATATATATATATATATATATATATGTCAGGGAGTGGTAAGACACTCAAATTGAATCGAAACGCAACCTTCTTACCTTCTTCGTATATTTGTCGTCCTTACTCGACGCAATGAGTACAAGAATGATGGTAATTTATATAGGTAAATTGTTGGTGCCTAGTGAAATATAATTATTCCAGCACCGCTCTGAATGGCTTGATTAAGCTCGGGTATACAATTTACTTTAATTGCTATCGACGTAACTAACTTCATCTTTCCTCACTAGAGGACTCTAGTAGCGTACTCTGGTAATTATTTACTATAATTGTAAGCGTAGTCGTTGCGTTTTGATTTAGTTTGAGTTTTCGTACAAACTCCTTCTATATATATATATATATATATATATATTATATATATATATATATATATATATATATATATATATATATATATATATATATATATATATATATATATAAGAAAAAAGAAAGAAGTACTTGTGACTCGTTTGGAAAAAATATAAAACTGTTTTGGATGGGTTGGAGTCAATAAAAGGGGCTATTTGTTGACTATTTTTTACTCGAGCTTTCAATTGTGATTACAATTTATTATCAAGAGCTTCTAAAAAATACAAAATATCTTACAAAGTTGAACTAGAAATAAAAAATTTTTTGTTAACTCACCAAATAAAATTAGTTTTTTATATAAAACTGCTGCTAACATATTAATTACAAAAAATATTATTAAAAAAAATGTCTTATTCTAATAAATGTTTCTCTGAAATATATTTTGATAAAATTTCTTAACAAAAACAATTGAATTTGTAAACAAAAATTGAATAGCTACAAACCAGCCTCAATGTCATAAATACCAAATTAAAAATTTTTTTTCTTGACATATTGTCAAAAATGCAATTACCGTGGTGAAAATGCAATTACCTCGTCAATTTTGAAATGGGCAAATAGAGAACATCACTCTTTGGACCGATAACTGCTATGGACAAACCAAAAATATAAGTATTATAATGTGCTAGTTTTGGATACTACATACATACCCTCAAATAAAGATGATCACTCAGAAGTTTTTACTGAAAGGGCACACACATATGGAAGCATAGAGTTTTCATCCTTTGATCGAAAGAAAATGAAAGAAACTCACCAATTTGGCCAGTTTAACACCAAGGGACTGGCAACAGCTAATTAGTCAAACATCAGGTAAATACACAGTGCACAATATGGAACTTGCAGATTTCAAAAACTTCAAAACGCTGTTCGATAAGAAACGGTCACCTAATCCTCCTTTTGTAATTAGAAAAAAGAATTGTAACAAAGAGCCTGTTTTGCTGTCAACATGTGTTTTTCTGTCACAAGTCCAAGAATAACATATTGGAAAGCTCTTTTATAAGACTAATTTGGCCTAATTAGAAGACAACAAGTAACGTTTCCAGCCTAATTAAATCAAATCTCAGTTTACCCAGTACCAATCACAAAACGAAAACTACAATGACTTAATTACACTATTTTTTTATTCCATCGGTTTGTCATGCGTTTTTTCAGTTCGCTTGTTCGTTTTTCGTGTCAGGTGGTAGTGTGATTTTTGCTCCCGAAAGTAATTATATTGTTCCTCACATCGACTGATATTATTCGGTTGCGAATTGAGTTAGTACTTTGATATTAGTGGTAAGTAAAGCTTAGGTATTTTTGCATGTAATTACGTAGCGATATTGCTTTTATTTTATCGAATTTAGAAAAAATATCACACTTTGGAGAAATTGTACCGTGGGGTACAGTGAGACAATCCTTAGTGGGGCAGACTGAGACGCGTCTCACTGTACCCCATCGAGGACGTTAGTTCGATAATACAAACTCATACTATTTGTTTCTTTTTTATGTAGATCATGGCAAGGAATAAAAAAAAAGACTAACATTGCTTCTTTTTCTAACAGTCAAATGAGAGAAGCCGTGAAATTAGTCACAAAAGAAGGGATTTCATTGCGAAAAGCAGCAGAACTGAAGGGGGTGTCATTTCAGACTTTATCAAGGTAAATTGTAAAGGAAATGATGATGGTAAATTAGGTTTCGCATAAAACATTTTATTTTTTTATAAACAATCATCTTTCTATTTCAGATACGTGAAAAAACAAAGGAATAACCCTGATACCAAAGTGAAAATGAGACCTTTTTATGAATGCCGCCAAATTATGTCGAAAGAACAGGAATTTGCACTGGCAAAATACCTCGAAATGTGCTCAAAAATGAACTATAGCCTAACAACTCTTGGATGTCGCCGTTTAGCATACAAAATGGCTCAAAAAAATAATATTCTGATTCTGAATAATTGGTCAGAAAATAGAGCTGCCGGCTTAGAATGGACTGAGAGAGATTTTTAAAACGATCACCTAACTTGAGCATCAGACAACAAGAAGGATGTAGTCTCTCGCGTGCTACATCTTTCAATAAACATAAAGTGTCAATTTTCTTTGATAAATTGCACAATGTCTTGAGCAGGCACGAAAGCTTTGCCAATGGCTCTCGAATATGGAATCTAGATGAAACTGGGTACGACAACTGTCAGAAACAAAAAAAGTGATCGCTTGCAAAGAGTTAAACAAGTGAGTCAAGTAACTAGTGACGAAAGAGGATCTTTAGTAACGACCTGCTGCTTCATAAGTGCTTCAGGAAACACGATTTCACCAGCTATCATATTTCCTAGGGCTCATTTTAAACCGCATATGCTTCGTAATGCGCCAACTGGTAGTTTTGGACTTGCAACACCTTCGGGATGGATGAACAGCGAGTTGTTTGTAAAAGTTATGCGTCATTTCATAAACCATACAAATTCCTTCAATCGAAAATCCAACATTCTGTTGTTCGATAACCACGAAAGTCATCTTTCAATGAATGTGTGGATTTGGCCAAATCCAATGGTTGAAATAGTCACTATTTTAACCTTTCCTCCCATTGCAGTAATAAACTACAACCATTAGATTTTGGCGTTTATTTTTCATTTAAGGCACAATTTAACAGAGCTGTCGACTCTTGGCTCATGCATCACACCGGAGTTCCAATGACCATACACGATATACCAGAATGTATTACGAGTGCATTTCAGAATTTAATGACTTCGATTATATCATATACACATCAGGATTCCGTAAATCGGGTATTTTCCCTTATAATCGGGATGTTTTTGCAGAAGAAGATTTTCTTCCTAGTTCCGTCACAGATCGGCCTGAACAGTCAACATCTTCAAATGGTACTGTCGAATCATTTGCAGAAAATCGTTTATACTAGTTTCAGATTCCTGCACAAATGACAAACATGGGGATTCTACTTCGAATCTTGATACTGTGATAACAACACTTACTATTGACCATGATTCTGAAGCAACCGTTGTGACAACAAAATCGTTTTTAAGCCCTCAAGAGTTTCGAGGCTACCCCAAAGCTGCTCCAAGAAAACGAGTGCAGAACAGAAAACGCGGAAGAAGTTTCATTCCAACAGATACTCCAGAAAAAATTGAACTTCAAACAAAGAACGCCGAAAAACGCAAAGCTAGAGCTAAGACAGTAAAAAACGATTTATTGAATCCGAAAATAGTTCTTCAAGTGACGAAGCAGAATCCCTGAACAGCTCATCTGAACATGATGCCGACCTTGATGCTCCAATTACAGATTACAGAATTCGATAGAAATGCAGTCCTTGATGACTATGTTCTTGTAAAGCTCGCAAGCAAAAAGTCAGTAAAATATTTTGTTGGCAAAATTTTGACTAATCTTTCCGATGATTTCGAATATGAGATCAATTATCTGAGAAGAAAAAATAAATCGAATAAGTTCTTTTATCCAAATGTTCCTGAAGTTGCTAGTGTTTTATCGCAAGACATAGTGATGATTTTACCTGTACCAGTGCTATATGGAAAAAACAAAAAAAAAAATTGTGTTTAGTTCGAATTGAATTTTGGCGCACTAGGGTAAAGCTTACAGTGATTGCCAAGTTAAGCATTGAAGTTTGATAAATGTGTAAGGCATTAATTTGTATTAAAAACAATATATTTAAATAATACACTAAATATTAGACTAAAGTATCCTCTTTATGACTCCGTATGTCATTTATTGTTTAAAAATGTTTAATATTTATAAAAAAAGTTTTATTCTTGGAAAAATTAATTTTGATAATAATTGGCATAATAAGTAGATAGTAATTGGCCACCAATAAAAGGCTAACTTATCCTAGGTACCTACATATTTTTCTTATTTATGTATCTTACCTGCGTTATTTTAATTTTGGTTAAAAAACTAAAAAACCATTAAAAATTATATATAATTTTATTGATCAAAGACGAATTTGATTTCAAAAATTTTTAATAAATGCCAGAAATTACAAACCAATTACAATGTTATCTTATCAAAACAAACGTTACACAAAAAGTTCTCCATTTCGAGGATAATATCTTATTTTTGGAAATACATTTTATATGGTATGTTCTGGAACAATTTGAACATTTTACTCCATATTGACTACGTGTTATATTATTAACACACGTATAGCACAGTCCAGTGTATATAGTTTTGTTCTTAAATGGATTAGGAGCAGATGGTGTAATAATAACCATATTCGTGTTAATGATTTCATCTTGACTGTTGTCACTAAACAATTTTCTTTTTGTTTTTTTCTGGCACAACAGTAAGACAACTTTGGATGTTTTCAGGGTCTTGAAGTCTTCGTTACGTTGAGTAAAACATCACCATCGTCTGCGTGTACTACTTTAAATACTTCCTTGGTTGCACCGCTATTAACACTTACATTTGGATAATATTTCATATTGGGATCATTGTTTTCTATATCACCTGCTGTGCTTGTTACGGCTTCTGGATCTGTATTATTTTTAAAAACAAGGTTAACGTTAGTGCTGTTTGGTGATCTTTCTGTATAATTATGTTTAGGCTTTCTTTTTGTTGCTGTTTTTTTTATTCATTTGTTTTTCTTTTAGTTCTTTTTTGTTCAACCTTTCAGTCTTACGTTTCTCCTTTTTCATCTCTAGTTCTTTTTTTATAGCCATTTTTTCTTTAATTGCTTTTTTCCTAACGGAGAAAGTCAGAACAAATGGTAATTTCTCCGTCTCTCTTTTTCCTTTCCTTTCAGGAGTTTTCGGCCAAATAACATAATCGCTGATTGATGAAGACGACTTATTTAATAAGACGTGTTTAGAGGCAAGTGATGAAGTACTAGGCATTTGGTTGTCGAAGTTAGTATTTTCTTCTCTTAGAATAGGAGTATTTTCAATGTCAAACACTTGCTCATTTAGGATAATTTCCGAAGTATGCTTAATAAAACCCTCCTTTTTTTCATCCTGTAAATTTCTGATTTCAAGAGTTAATTCTGGCTCACAGATTTCAGATTGGATCGTCCCATGGATTTTGACTGTTCCTCCTTGCTGCTCTGTATCTTTGCCTTTATCCATATCTTCCAGTTGATCACTATTCACGGATGGACTTGCCTCCAAAAATTCTTTATAAACATAATACAACGTCAAAAAATCGGAATTATGTGCATCATTTTCAACAAAGTTTTTAAGCCTTTCCATTTTTTCCTCTCCAGCAATCTTTTTAAATGTTTCGAATGTAATTTTACTGACTTTCGTGTCTCTATTTTGTTCTTTTGTCTTGCCAGTGGATTTGGAATAATCAATTGCAGATACATTCCAAGTGAAAAGCCCACAGGCACAAAAACCATTTCTAATATTTTCTGGTTTTATATTATCAACTTCTGTTTTTAAAACTGCAGCAAAATTGTCCTTTATTACAATTTCAGTAGGGTGCTCTCTCCGAAACTTTAATACAGCACTTTTCCATCCTTCTTTAGAGGACTTAAATATGAACACATCTGCAGGTTGCAAGATTCAAGTCGAGTTAGGGTACAGAGCAATTAGAATTATCTGTAGCTTTGTGCATAATTCGCTTATTTCATAGGTTAAATGTGTGCTGTGACCATAGACGAACAAGGCAATTGGAAATTTGATGTTATTTTTGCTTAAGTAAGGATAAAGAATGTTTCCTATATATTCGTAGAACAGCTGATATTTCATCCAACCGTTATCACTGCATCCAATTCCCCAGGTGTCAGGTACAGATTTAACAATTTCAGCTAGCAGTCTTTTGTAAGCATAGATAATCATAGGTGGGCTCACAACACCACAAGCTGAAAATGTAAACATCACTGTGATATTGTTTTTTGAATGATGTATTTCATAAAAGTTTTTCGCTCCTCTTGGTGCAAGAAATTTTTTGTTCTTTGGGCAAAGCCAAAAACAGGTTTCGTCTCCATTGTAGATGCTGCTGGGATCTTCAAGAATCTCAAATAATGGTTTTTCCTTTAAATAGTCTTCTACATTAGTAAACCAGTTTCTTATGTCTGCTTCGGCTACAACTGAGCTAGCTGCTGTTATTCATTCTGCGGTTCTTAGAGTTATATTTGGGTGACGTTTTAGGAAGGAGTGATACCATCCTCTTCCTGGATGGTTATCTTTAAACGGATTTTCTCTAGGGGCTACGTCAAGGAAATATTTTACAGAAGCTTGAATGTCTTCCATTCTACGAGGAAATCCTTTCTTGTAGGAGATCAAAATCCATCCTTCTAGAACTGCTTCTTCTTCTGAAGTTAATACTGGGTGAGGTCCAAAAGAAACTTTGTTATTAAATCTGACACTTGACCAGAACTGAAGTGTTGCTCGAGGAATCTGATATAACTTGGAAGCTTCTCTTTGACTCATACCATTTTCAATAGATTCTAAAGCCTTAATTATATCTTCTTCTTTATATTTTTTTGGTAAGAAACACCTTCACAGACCTTTAGCATCTTATAACTGAAAAAAAAAAGGATTGCGATAGTGATTGGCCACATTGCAATATACTAATTAGTCTACGGCCAACGACTGTTTACTCTTAGAATATTTAAAGGTAACAATAAGAATAATGTAATTTAGAGTGCCCATTTTTATGGAAAACAAATTATATCTGAAAATTTATTTTAGAAATTTATCACAGTAATTGGCCGGCCGGCCAATAACTGTTTATATACCTAAATTATTGATATAGTTATTGGCATAATAAATTTGCGCGTTTTTTTTTTATCTAAAAATGTTTGGGGCCTAAAATTTGATCAGTTATAACCTTAGCTTAATATATCATGCTAAATTATATCTATATCTACAACGATTAACTTTATAATAGATCAAAAACAATCCTTAAGAAATTCGTAAGATTTTACCTGTGAACAACTAAACTGGCGACAGCAAGAAGTAACCACACCCTTTAAGCACTTTATTGTGACTGTAGCCAGACGAAACTGTAGGTGAACATTAAGCGACGTTGTCAAAATTATTCTGTAGATTTGATTTATTTCAGTAACAGCAGAGATTCTTAATATTTATAAATTTATGGTAACATGGCCAATCACTATAGCATCGCCAACGACTGTATCATTTACCCTACATGTTCAATGAACGATGTCTCGTTGTGGGCCACTGTGCTTCTCAGTGTGGACCACCGTGGGACACAGTGAGACACTGCAACGTCAAAAAGAATTTTTTTATGACTTATGTTTTCAAGTTCAATATGTCTGTTGTGTATTTTTGTAAAATAAAGACCAATTTACAGGATTATTTGTTTGTTTTCAATATAAATAGAAAAAGTTGTGAAAAAATCTCCAATGACTAAAAACCGTCTCTCACTGTGGACCACTCTCACCTACAGATATATTTAGTGGTTAACGTGTGATCACAACTATAGAACGTTAAACAGAGTTCCATCTATTTGTAGTAAAATTTTATTTGCTAATATTTGCAATTACAGCTATTATACGTTCTTAAAAACATAAACTTAATTTCTATTTAGATGCCTAAGCTTCAATTCAAAAAAATATATTTATTTCAGAATGCAACTAATTCTCGAAATAAAATAAAAATAACATAACTTACCTTGGTCAGCTGCATGTAACCTCGTAATAAAAGTGAAAATAATAAAGATCACAAACATAGTGCGCACTGTATTTAAAAAACTAACTAGTTATCTTCGACAATCTTATATTAACAATAGCTATACACGTCAGATTTAATAGTACTAGTATTTTCCAATACGAGATTGCGCAAATTATGAAAAGTCTAACTGTACATATAAAACGTTGCCTTAAGAAACAGGTTCCAGTATTATGAATACCTTGACAAAATTTAAACATCACCAAAATTTTTAAATAAAATATTCGTAAACGATGATTACTTATAATGTATGAGGTTATGTTGCTCTAAGCTATAACATCTTACCTAGAGCGATCAATAATTTTTTTAGAAAATCCAAGAAATCGTGCTCATAGTATATAAATTTTATTTTTGGTTAACATTATTTCTTGGCAGACAGCTGTTAAAATTTTTCAGGTACATTAATTACATTAAGAACATTCTTAACGTTAATAAAAATAACCGTATCTGGAATGATTACAAAAATTCACCGTATGATTTTGAGTGATCGACGCTAAAAGGTAACATAGTTGCGACCAAAGGGATTTCACAAGATTCGGTCATGTAAAGTAAATTCAACTTCAAGCTACGGCCGGTGTAAACAAATGCACGCTGGAAACACGCGTTTGTTCAGGACCGGACTAGTAAATTAAAGCTGCAATACAAAACTTTATATAGTTTGTAGACGTCTGATAGGTACATATTATAGTACACCAATTTTTTCAATATAAAAATGATTACAAGATCGAGAGTTATTAATAACAAAATAAAGTATACAAAAAAAAGTTTATAAAATTACCGTATTTTATCTTAACTTTCAGAATCTGATGTACTGCTGTCATCATTATAGTTGATAATAATAGGCTCAATTTGTGCCTCAATTAAATTGTCCAACTTCCACATTTTTGGCTCCACTTCTTCTTTTACATGTTTACCGCAGTTTTTCAATTTTTTCATGGTTACAGCAGACATAGCTTCATGGAATAATTTTTTAACGTCAGCAAATTTAAATGTTGTGTTATGCGCTGCAACATAATTATTGACTTCCGCCCATACAAGTTTGATTGGATTGAGCTCGCAGTGGTACGGTGGCAACCTTAAAACTATTCTATTTGTGCTTCTCACCAGTTCATCTACTATGTACTTATTATATTTGCCTTTATGTTGTTTATATATATATCCGGTTTTTTAGGCGTTACGCCCGTCCGGTAGGGATCTATGGAGGAGTATCACCGAGCCGCAAGCCCTTATCTCTTGCCGTACTGCTCCACCATAGGCCGATCAGATCCCAGCATATCCTAGTCTAAGCCGCAGATTCATCTAGAATTTTAAACTGCTGCGTTAGACTTTTTGTTTTCTGTACACCGGGCTGGGGCTCGAACCCACATTCACTGAACCATTCGACAGTGAAGCGAATGAGAGGCAGCCGCACAGCCCGCTGAGCTATCTGACCAACTTTATGTTGTTTAACGATTTCCAAAAGTTGCACCTTTAACATCGTTTCTTCAAAGTGAATGTCTTTGGAGCAAAGCCAATTTTGAATATCTGCCTTTTTTGTAACCGTAATGGGAATTTTTTCCAATTTTCTGGAATGGTAAGGGCCACTGTCCATTACAATAACAGCTTTTTTCAGTGTTGGTAAAATCTTTTGGAGCCAATTTTCAAATGACTTCCCATCCATCTTCTCATGCTAGTCTCCACTCAAAAGGCCACAGTGCATCCTGGACAAAACCATTCTCACTTCCGATGTGACAGATTATAAATCTTTTACCTTTTTCTAAAAGTGATAAATAAAAAATTAAAAGTTTATTTGAATTACCTGAGGGATTTATTAAGCCGGTCGACAGCCCATCCGAAAATGCAGATCTTGCAGAAGTCACAGAAGCAGCCACCCAAACTTTTGGTTTTGTATGGCCAGCATTTATCCATGTTTCGTCTAAATAATAAATGGTTTCATTTTTAGCTCTATATTTGCTTATCTTTTGCAAATAATTTCTCCGCCATAACACAATTTCATTTTTGTCGAGTAGCAAACTGTTCCTTCAACGTTTTTGAAATTTAAAATTTAATTTTCGTAAGATTTTGTAAAACGTGGTTCTCTTAAAATAAGTCATTATCATTATTTACATCTCCTAGGACTTTGTTAATTGTAGGAATTTCGTTGCGGAAAAAATACTGATAAACCATTCTTCTTATAGCTGACTTACCAAAATCATCTACGCATCTTACCAAATCATCTACAGCATCTATTGATTTTGAACGATTTTGGTTTGTTTTCGGTGCAGATAATATGTGGGTACTTTTATATTCTTTAATGACATTGAAAACAGTTTTCGAACAAACTCCAAGTATATCTGCAACCCTTTGTTGAATGTTCGTTAACGCTAAAGTAGGATTATCTTGTAATTCACATTTGTATGTATTAACCATTATTTCTTTGGTTCTTATATCTATGTGATTTTTCTTAGCTCTTTTCCTAGGAGGACTTAGCGTTAACAGGTGCTCATTTTCAATTGCCGACTCCGTACAAGACATTTTAATTAAGTGGACTTATTATACTTTTCTCAACTAAAATAACAAAATGGACATTTTCAAAATTTACTGTTTTAGTAGAGGATCCGATATAAGGTTTACCTACACCGCTTTGTTAAATGTGATATTTTTTACGTATGTTTTTGAGCCTTGAAAATCGTCATCTATCGTTCTTCGTCTGTCAGTTCTTTTTCGTCTGTCAATTCTTCTTCGTCTGTCAATCCTTCATCGTCTGTCAATTCTTCCTTGTTTTCCAGTTTTAAATTATTTATAACTCGAACACGACCAACTTAAGAAAAATTACAAAATAACTTTTTGTTTAGAATTATCCAAAAAATCTAAAACAATATCTGCCCGGGTTGAATTTTTTTCTAAATATATAAAAAAAAAGTATGTTTTAACTCTTTTCAGCACATCAGATTGAAATTTGAACCACCAAATGTTTGCTACATGTTGCACAGAGTAGTCCACAAAATGAATCACTTATTAATCTATTTTTATCAAGTTACACCTACGCAAGTGGTTTGTATTAATTATTCCCTCTGTCCCTATTAAGTGTTATCTTTAATTGGTAAAATTCCCACGGTATAGTTATCGACCAAACGCAGTTGTTTCTTGAAAAGTGATTAAGTGAGGTCATTTTACTTTTTACATGTGAAATTGAATGTTTCTATGCCCCAAGGGTCCATTGTAGAAATTTATAAAATCTCGTGCCGCAAAGAGTTGGAAGTATTAATTCATTATAGTCAGGACAAAATTATATCGGGCACTTCTTGTTTTTCATAATTTTTAACATACTAAACTATTATACTTACAGGAATTTTTTAAAGTGGGGAAAAAGTTTGTATCGACTATAATTAAATGTTCTTAAAAATGCTTTGCACCATCCACACACGAGCTAACGATTAACAAATCAACAAACCAACAAACAGCTTTGCACATAAATTACTGGGCCATTTTGCATTCGAAAACGAAGTGCGCACCTGTTAAGGCTAACTGCATGACTTACGATCGTTCGACAATTTGGCCAATAGCAAGGCGTTCATCACGTGTAGACTCAAATATCACGCGGTGACTTGTATTTATTCTGTCCGTAACTTAAAGTTGAATTTACTGTAGAATTTAATAAAATTAAAGTAAATTAACAATAACTCAAAACTTCAGCAACGTTATAGAATGAAGTAAAGCTTATTCAGGGGCACATATAGTAAGTGTCCAGTAGACCAGAATCCAGCAAGTCCAGCAAGTAGACCAGAATCTTGTCTTAGCAGACATAAAACTAAAATTAAAGAAAATAAATAAAGCTAAAGAAACACCAACAATCACTCTAAGAAGACTAAAAGAAGCTGATCCCTGCCAACAGGTCAAATAACAAAAACACAAGGAAGTCCAGAAAGTAGAACGACTAGAACAAATTAATGCTATAGAAAAATGAAAAGAGTTAAAGAAAATCCTGAGAAACATTATGCAGCAACAACTGGAGGGCGATATATCTCTCAAAGGCAAACAATGGCAAAGAGAAGTAATAAAGTCATTAATATCGTAAAGAAGAAAATAAAAGATTAAAAACGAACAATAACACAATCAAACAAAATAATCAAAGAAGTGAGGTAGAATATAATTAACTTGAGTCTGCATCGACATCCCTCACAATTTAGATTTACATTTTGCTCTGCGCTTGTGCGGTTTCAAATAAAGTTATAAGTCAGGAAAAGTTGACAAACGGAATAAAATTGCTATTTTTAATGTTTAAAAATAAGATTAGTGATTTTGTATATATTTGGACCCTTTATATGTAGACACAAGATAGTGTCTACATATAAAGGGTCCGACCAGTACCTAGCAGATAAATTTAAGTGGCCACAAAAATTGAAATTCGAGAACAAACACTTTCCCTTGGTTTTGGGATATGTATTAATATTTTAAAAATGATCGAGTTAGTCAAAAATGTTTCTTGTAAAAATTTTGTGGTTTTACATTCTCTATAAAATGCATGCAACTGCAATGTTTTAAATGATATTTTATTTCCATTACAATGACATTTATATCTTCGATATTTCTCATAGTCTTATTTTATATTCTGGACGTTTTGTTATGAAATACTCATCATTAGACATATTTTGCATAACTAAAATACGATGTATTTGGCTTTGGTTTTTCTCATTAACGTGATTTAATATCAAATACTTACTAGAATCCTGACTTTATTAAACCATAAGTCCAAAGTAATTGGTTTATTTACTTAACTGCTTGGAATTTTACATCAACTTATTACATACATTGAACTAGCAACAGAAAATACATATTTTATGTATAGAAACAGAAACATACAAATACAGAAAATACAAATTTTGTTTGATATGCTCTACATTTAAATTAGTTTGGTATACCTAGTCTTTTAAAATTAACAAACAAAACGGCAAATGACTATTGGTACTTTCAACAATTGTTTAACTCATATTTTCAAATAGTGATACAATATCGTCGGTCGGATTCATTACTGGAACATTTCCAAAATTAGCTATTTTGAACGAAGTACGTAAAATGGTTAAAAATTGCGGACTCTTTCTGAATCACTAACGGAATAAAATATATAATCGTCCTTAATAACTGTCAAAATGACAAAAACCGATATAATATTGTTCTATTTCGTGTAATATCCCCATCCACTAACAGTTTATTTCGAAATGTTCCGATACGACTTTAAGATCATTACGTGAATATTATTTACAACGGTATAATATTTCGATAAGTTCCAGTACGCCGTTGAGAATCCAATGTTGAAAAATTAATTTCTTGTATTAAATACAAGAAATTTTGTATCAGTTGTGCTTTGAACGCGATATAGAGTGTATGGTTTAACTGCATAGTTTCTTTAATTATGTCTTCAAGAGCACAGAAGTTGATTGAACTAGCTATTTCAAGTTTATTAACGGAAAATGTAGAGGACAATCATGGACATGGTAAGCTTTTTTTATGAAAATAATTCTATGATCATACCTATTTTAATTTTAACAGTACCCGAAGTTAATATTTTTAAAGCAGATGGTCCAATATGTTAATAAGTAACTATTCGGTACTGCTATTACTTAAGTAGGTACATTTTAAATTTTTTTGCATTAAAATGTAAGTATGTATATTGTTACTAAAATGATAATAAACGATTTTTATCTTTTCGTTTAGGGGGTCAGTCTGTTGTGGACATGGACTATGAAAGAAGCCCGTCTTCCAGTATGAGACGACATAATACTGATACCTCTTTTACTGTTTCTCAAGTGGCGCCTATATTAAGTAAGAACTTTTTTGTATGTTCTCTACATTTTTTATGCCTTACATTCTTTTATTTTTACGTTATAAACCTTATTTAGTTGTAGGTGACGAAGTAGACAAAATATTATCATCAGATGGAAAAAATTACATTAATTTAGATAATTTGGCGCTACATGAGGATGAGAATATAGTTTATGAAGAATTGCGGCCTTTAACTATGACATCCAAAATTCCTATTGCTACAGACCAGGTGGAACCTCTAATAAGTAAGAATGAATCTGTATTTCGTTTTTTGAGTCACGGGCGGAATTGAATACTTTCAAGAATCTCAATATGTAATTATTGTACTCGAGGACTTCAAAGAATTGAAAACTTTTTCGACTATCGGGTGTTGATTTAAAATAAAAACTGTTTTAAATTCATCAATTCCTGATTTGTTTAATGTTTATATTCGTTAATGACTTTAACACTCACGAAATTTTACAGAAATGTGATAGCCTGAATTAGCCGTTTTTATTGTCTTGAGAATCAGCACGTTTTCTTTGGTGAATGGGGAATCCGATTAAACATAAATATTATTTAGTATCACTTGTACAGCAGAATAGTAGAAATTGTCGTTTTGTAGTTGTTTGTACCCGAAATTTTCATTACGTTAGTTTATTTATTTGACCTCTAAAAATATGTTTGTTTACAAAATTACCATAATAAAATTGCAACCGCTTACTCAGCTAGTATTCGAATATTTCGGTTAAAAGAACTTTCAGGAATCGAATACTCGTCGACTCTTGGTAATCGAAAACCCCATCACGTTTTTTACTAATTATTAGGTAACATTTTCCAGGGCTTCTAAATTAAGAATATTTTTTAACTTTCAGGAAATGAATTGGTTCAATCACAGCCTGTAACAGAAACAGAAAATGATATTAACTTAGCTAACGTAGAACTACAAGATGGAAATGTTTCTGAATCTGAAAAAGTGTCTACTACCCGGAATAAAACTAAAAAGAGAAAGAGAGAGCCAGAAAAGTGGATTAAGAATGTGAAAAAACAATTAAAGAATAGTGGTAAAGCCTACCAAACCGTAAAAGGACGTACAGTACCAGCTAAGAAACCAAAACCACCATGTACGAACTGTCGACTAAAATGCCCAGAGAAGATAAATGAAGAGAGTAGATTGAAACTATTTGAAGACTTTTGGAATATCGGTGACCTCACCAAACAGCGCTACTACATTAAAACTTGCATGGGAGTGGTTAAGCCGAAATATTCATTGCACAATGCGAATAGTACTCGATCATTGAATGTGTCATATCATTTTACAATACATGCAGAGAAAATTCGAGTATGTAAACGATTCTACACAGCAACGTTGGATATAGGACATTCGTTTTTATCTACAGTTAATAAGTTATCTAATTCGAGTGGGATAATACCGGAGGACCGTAGAGGACATCACGGCAATACTGGTAGGTGTCTATCAGACGATGTTAAAGATATTGTCCGAGAACACATAAATTCTTACCCTAGAAAAGAGTCACATTATTGTCGAGCATCTTCAAGTAAGGAATATCTAGACGGTGATTTGAATTTGGCTTTGATGTACCGCCAATATAAGGAATGGTGTCATCAAAATAACAAATTTAAAGTCAAACAAGGAACTTACGAACACATTTTTCGAAATGAATTTAACATTGCGTTTCATAAGCCAAAGAAAGACCAATGCTCTTTGTGTTTGTCCTATCAAAATGCTACAGGTGATGATAAGTTACAGTTGATGTGTGCCTATGAACAGCATTTGAAGGAAAGAGATTTGTGCCGAGAAGATAAAAGAGCTGACATAGCATCATGCAAAAATGATGAAAGTAAAATAATATGCTGTTATGACATGCAAGCTGTCCTGCAAACACCTTCCGGAAATGATTCTCTTTTTTTCTATAAAAGAAGGTTAAATGTATACAACTGCACCGTCTATGATGTTGTGTCAAAAGCTGCTAACTGCTACTTATGGAATGAGTCGTTAGGGGGTAAAGGTTGCGATGAAGTCGGTACATGTATTTATTTATTTTTAAAAGATAATTGTGTAGGAAAACATGTTATATTTTATACGGATAACTGTTCAGCTCAGAACAAAAATAAATACTTACTAAGTCTTTATCACTATGCTATTCAAATTTTAAAAGTTAAATCAATTACGCACAAGTACTTAGTAGTTGGACATACCCAAAATGAAGGGGACAGCGTCCATAGTACAATCGAACGAGAAAAATCAAGGATATTAAAAAATGGTTCCATTTTCATTCCATCACAATGGATATCGCTAATTCAATGTGCCAAAAAGACTGGACTTCCATACAGAGTACTAGAATTAGACTTCACAGCTATTTTAAATCTAAAAGATCTAGTAACACAGTTTGGTAAAAACTTTACAGAAAATACTGATGGTGATCGTGTTGTATGGAATGATATACGAAAAATTTTTATGCAAGCTACTTCTCCATACCAAATTTGCTATAGCAACTTTTATGATCCGGAAGCTACGATGAAATTCATTAATGTACGCCATAGGACAAGGGGCAAAAGTGCAGCTAATGACGTAGAACAACACCTTCGAAAAAAATATCAGGTACGACCAAAGATATCGAGTTTAAAGAAAAGGGACTTACTGTCCTTATGTGACTCGAATGTAATTCCGAAGGTATACCGCGAGTATTACGCTGGGTTACCAGCCACAGAAAATCATGCTGAGCATGAAGAACAATGTGAGAACAATTAATTATTATTATAAAATATTTCTGATTTTCCTACATTTTTTTAATTTTATTTTTTCATTTAATTTTCGATTTGTGTACTTGAGAATAAACGTTCAATTCAAATTTGTTGTCATTTCTTTATTTCATTTCAGACATTAACAGAACATTTTAGAAATATACCATTAGATCCTTCACTTGCAATAGTTTTCTAATACATACTCCTAATTCATTACTGGAACATTTCACAAAATTATTTATTATTAAAAAAATAACAGGATTTTAAATTTTTTAACAATTCCTCATTAAACTGTAACCCTTGTTTAATACATTGGCGTAATAATCTTGAAAATCGGAGAAAACTGTTTTGATTAAATTAGCATTTCAAATGCTCTTCAAACTTTAACTTGCATTTTCCAACAATAACATAATTTGAAATGTTCCAATAATGAATCCGACCGACGATATGGTCCATTTTCCAAATTCAAATTGTATTTTCTGTACTTACCTATCATCGGCTTAGTGACACAAAAATGTAACATTTTTGTGACACAAAAATGTAACATGTCATTTTTTTCCCGTTTTGAGATATCTACACCATTGAACTTACTTTATTAAGTTCTATTGAGTGACACAAAACTGTATCTCTCCGAACACCTAAAAACCCAGTAAGGAGTTTTCGTAATTACATTTCTTAGCAAATTTTTAGTGTCACAGAAATATAAGTGCTGTTACATTTCTGTGATATTATGTTTTCGTACTATAAATAAGCTAATATTGAGTTTCATTATTGTGTCATTAATTTTATTGCACTGAATGGTGATTGTAGGTAGCAACTGTGGATTTGATAATTTGTTTATTATGTTAAGCAGGTTGGTCCGTTGTAATTGCAGTTCTGTTATAGTTGTGAAACACGTGAATAAATTTTAAGTTATTTGTTGTAGATATTGTTATAATAATCGTTATAATACTGATTTATAATTTTATTATTACACAATAAAATGGATTCTAAAGGGGAAGTAGTTAGTTTTGTTAGCTCTTAACAAATCGGTAGGAGATAACAAAACACAGTCATAATTTACCGCTCTCATCACAAGTGACATATTCAGATAGTGCCTCCCATGTTCCTACCAGTGAACTTAATGTATCAGGATATGAACAATGTGAGGATATATTTTTTGGTGACGACTAAGAATAAGTGATACGTGTGGGGGGGCCAAAACTGCGACATAAATGTATCTGCTTTGTTGCTTTACGCTGTTCAAACATTAGAGATTCCAAAAATTGACAATTGCTTTTTTGAACCTAGCCACTCGATGATGGACTGTAACCCCGTCTATGGTCATATTGAGAAAGCATAAAAGATGTGGACATAGTTGACCCCACTGGGTGGTACTCCATTGTAAGAATGGCGTCAAAGAAATCAAAATACACTGTACACGAGATTGAACAGGAAGAAATTTATGACTTCAACGCTTTTGCCACAATTCTAATAAAAAACAAAAAAGTGGATAGCGATAGTACAATACATTGCATTTCCTTGCATATTGGACAGTAGGTTAACACTGGTAAACAAGTTGTCTACAAAGAGTTTATATGGTAGGTTCCTCTTATTGGTGGGTAAATCACGCAATATGTTTAGCAGTGGAGCAGTAGCTCAAAATTCTCTGTTGGTAAATCTTCAGATGGCAATAATCGTTGTTCCTCAAATCGCCGAGAATATCGTAATATTTATTATATTATAAACATGTGTGATGACACAGCGACCGCGAAATTGATACCTGATACATGATATCTGATCAATGATCATCGTTATCCAACTGGCAGTTAACAATGTTTTATAAATCTTAGTAAATAATTCGCTGGGAATGAAATCACGTCTTATGTTTATTTTTGCTGAAATACGGTAGTACATTATCCTAGCGTTGCATATATGTAATACTGAACTTTGGGGCAAGATTGAATGAATTGATTGATTGAATTGAAGGCAAGAGAGGAATGGGACGCAAGAAAATGTCCTGGCTCCGAAACATAAGGCAATGGACAGGGATTAACGACATACAATCTCTGATACGTATTGCAAGAAATAGAGAATTAATGAAAAATGTGATCGCTAATATCCATTAGTGGATTTGCATCTGAAGAAGAAGAAGAAAAACTTTGGGGCTACACAGAACTAAGTGGTAGTGAAATATTTAAATAAAATTTGAAAGATATAGACTATGTACCTTTATATAAAGCTTAACTTACTTTTTGAGCTAAAAAATTGTAAGATAAAAAAATAAATGTACTTACTCTAGACTAACGTCCATTTTTTCTAAATATTTAATGACAGCTTATTTTAAATGTTTACAGGCACAAAATTTTCGCACACTATGTCTGCAAACTAGTCAACATGCATTAGAGGAAGTGTCAAATTGTACAATACTTACGCCATTTATACGATTCTATCACAAGGTTTCTTACAGGGCGCTTTTTTAATTACACAATATTGCGTAACTTATATGTCACGCTAGCATATTAAGGGTTAAAGAAAACATTTCTAAGATTAATAATTTGGAACAAAAAAGTTGAGAATAAATTACTGGTCATTACAAAATGCAAATCATTTTTTTAAAAACCTTAAATAAGCTCTCCTGAAAAGTAGTCCATAGTAGTGCATATTGTAGTAATAAAAAAAAATAAATAAGGTCCCTACTATGGACAACAATCTGATGGCTCAGAGTGATGCCACTAAAGAAATACAAAAATTCACAGAAAATATAGACAATAAAAAAAATCTGATTTCATTTAAAAAAAAATGAAATTTGTACTGATATCGCAAGAACTTAAAAAGTTGACATGAACTTACCAACCACCTACCCCATTTTATCCATGACCACGTAAAGGCTTTTGTTTAAGGTTAAAAAAAGTACACACTTTAGAATTCTTAAAATTTTATTAAAACAGATATGCAAAAATTTATCCATTTCCACACCACAGTATTATTTTGAGAAATGCTGTGGGATAAATGGTGCGTTAACTTTTTTATTATAGTGGGAAGTTTTGTCAGTAGCCTTATTAGACCCACTGATTTAAAAAAGTCCTATAGATCACAAAAAAGTATTCTAAGTTGTTCTAATATATTTACTGTAACAGTTTAAAATATTTTTTTGTTATTTATAGGATTTATTAATCCTAATCACCATGAACCTATCACTATAAACTATAAATTAACCATTCACTACTTAACTATAGACTACTTATGAATCACTAATTCTATAATACGTACGATTTATTAATCCTATATGTTATTAATTATTGTTAGTATATTAAATTAATAGATTCATAGCAATTTCGTTACTTTCTATCTGTTGTGGTAATACAATACTGGTTTTATTTTTTTTTCTTTTTTGTCTAAAATAGTCTTCTTTGTGGTACTACGTTTCCCTTAGAGACACTTTTCACAACTAAAGTTCTATCATTTTTTAAACTGTGTCTGATAGCTGCCATAGTGGGAGTCATTGATAAGGCAATTGTTTCAAGAGATTCTAATTCTTCAATGGATTCTGTACTGCTAATAAGAGTGGTGAGTTTTTCTATTACGACATTTTGCCTTTTCTTTATAGTGGTCTCTTCTGATGCTACCTTTTTTGCTAGCTCATTGAGAATAGTGACAACTCCAGGAGCTGCATTGTTTTCAATAATCAAATTATTATCCTCTAAAGGCAAAAAGTAATATAGTTACCTACTTATAACATCTACCACAATTCTTTAAGAGTACAACAAAATGTTTAGCATGCATTATAAAAACCTTTTATCCAAACTATTATATAAAAAATGAGACAGTTTTATGATCCAACTTTTAGAATTATTCAAACTGTAAACAACTACCATAGTTGTAATGTATTGAAACCCAGTACTTGTTACTTAAATCTCTTTATTACTTGCTGTCATTTTACATCTTAAGAATTAGGTTAGTTCTTTTCATTTTTTATTGACAGATAGTCCATATCTTATTTTGGCCTTGTATGTAACACTATTACAGCCAGTAGCTGTCTACTGTATTAGGTGCGACACTACATCTCTCCACCCTTAAGACATGAATTTATAAATTTAACCTCTCAGGAGACTTAATAATGCGGCGAGGTCTATCGCAACTATTAGAGCTATCAACCCTATCGCTAATATGACATTTATTGTCACAAGGATTACTTTTACAATTATCCTGTTTATTTTCATTTACACCCACACCATCAGCCGCTGTCGACATTTCCCAATTTTGAGGTAATATCGGATTGGCTCGCACTTCAGAGTCTTTCAGATGTCTAGCTTGCACTCCCGACACTCCCGTAATATCCACTACCGCATTATCATCACTATCTTCTGACAACAAAACGTCCTCCTTATTATCATACACTTCCCCTTCCCTATATTCACCTTTCTCTTTCTCAACTGACTCCCCTTTTTCCAACTCAAAATGAATATCATCATAGAACATTCCTAGCTTAAGTATTTGATCAATATGTCTTTTCCAAAGCAATTTATCATTTTGAATTGGTTTACATATATAAGTTATTTGCCCTATTTTAGACACAATTATCGCTTTTACCCATAAAGGCTTATTCAAATTCCTATAGTCTTTAGTATAAACCCTCTTCAAAGGTAACTTGTCTAGCACCATGATATTTAATTTGATTGGCCCTAGCTTTTTCTCTCATTGTACTTGTTAAAAAGTCTAAACGTGTTTTAATATGTCTGCCAAACATGAGTTTGGAAGGGGTTTCCCCTGTTGAACTGTGAGGTGTATTTCTATATGAAAACAAATATTTGCTAATAAGCTCAGACAAATCCCTATGATCTGATACATGATCTACAAACAACTTACTCATTGAACTTTTAAAATGTTTTACACTATTCTCTGCTGCTCCGTTTGTTGAGGGGTGATATGGGGGCGAAGTATTGTGAATGATGCCATTCATTCTACAAAATGTTTCAAATTCTGTACTAACAAACTATGGGCCATTATCTGATATTATGGTGTTTGGCATTATGGCAAAACACTCTCTCAGACATTTAATAGTGGAGTTTGTATCAATTTTATTCATAATAAAGACTTCTGGCCACTTTGAATATGAGTCTATCAATATCATACACATTTTTCCTTTTATGGGTCCTAAAAAATCTATATGTATGCGATCAAAGACACCTTTGGCTTCTTGAAACTTTATTAATACTGACTTCTGAGGATTCTGTGTTTTTCATACATGGCTCACAGTTTTTTACATATGTTTCAATTTCTGAATCAAGGTTTGGCCACCAGAAATATTTCCTCGCTATTGTCTTCATTCTTACCATTCCATTATGGGCTCCATGTATCTCCTCCAATAACTGCTTCCTAACTTTCTCTGGAACAATTACTCTAAAGCCCCACATTAGCAACCCATTGTCTATCTCTAATTCCAATTGCCTCCTTTTAAAAGGTTTCAACTCCTCTGCTACTTCATCTGGCCAACCATCTCTTACAAACCGGTAAACTTTCCCTAGTATAAAATCTAGTCTAGTTTCTCTGATCAAAATATCTGCACTAATGGGCACCTTGTCTTCTACAAAAAAGTTGAAATAATCATATGTAATCTCTCCTTCCTCCTTTGTTGCATATGGAAGCCTAGAAAGACCATCAGCACCTTCATTCTGACAACCCTTGACATATTGAAAAGTATAATTAAATCCACTCAAGAAAAATGCCCACCTTTGAAGTCTACTTGCAGCCATCTGAGGAATTCCTTTATTTTCCCCAAATATTGCTTGAAGTGGCTTATGATCAGAACATAAAGTAAACTTGTGACCCATGAGGTACTGATAAAACTTTTTTACTCCCCAGAAAACTGCTAAGGCTTCCTTATGGATTACTGAATAATTAGATTCTGCTTTGTTTAATAACCTAGATGCAAAACTGATTGGCCTTTCTGAACCATCTGGGAAAGTATGCAAAAGCACACAACCTATACCTGCCTCTGAACTATCACACACCAACTTTATTGGTTTAACCGGATCAAAATATACTAAATTTTGCTCTGACAGTATTGCTGCTTTTGCATTTTCAAAAGATCTTTCACATTCTTTGGACCAAATGAAAGGAGTATCTTTTTTTAGCAATTTATACAAAGGACTGAGCACAGATGATAAATTCGGTACAAATTTTCCATAATAATTGACCAGACCCACAAAAGCTTTAATTTCTGTTACATTTTTAGGTCTAGGAATCTCTGAAATAGCTTTAGTTTTATCTGGGTCTTTATGTAGACCTCCTTTATTTATATAGTGTCCTAAATACCGTATTTCTGGTTGAAAAAATTTACATTTATTCAAGTTAAGTCTGAACCCTGCCTTATACAGTCTATCTAACACTACCTGTAAGTTTTTTAAATGCTCCTCTCTATTCTTTCCTGTGACCACAATATCGTCCATGAAGTTAATGGTTCCTTTAGCTCCTAGCAATTTATATTCTATACCTAGCAATCTAATATTTTCTGAAAATGGCACAGGCTGGTTTGGTACCATAGGGTAACCTGTTTACTTTATATATACCTCTATGCGTACTCCAAGATAACAATAATGTACTTTCCTCTAATTCTAATTGATTAGAAGCATTCCTTAAATCTAGCTTTGTAAAATGTTCCCCACCCTGAAGAGCAGTAAAAAGCTCCTCAATACGAGGTAAAGGATATTTTACATCATGTAGAAATCTGTTTACTGTTACCTTGTAGTCAGCGCATAAACGTATCTTTCCATCCTCTTTAATTATTGGCACTAAAGGTGTACCCTATTCAGAGTTTTCAATTAAAGAAATTACTCCCTTTTTAACCAACTCATCTAATTCCTTATTAATTGATTCCTTAAATAGAAAAGGACACAGGCCGTGGTTTATAAAAATAGGTTTGAGCATTGGTTGCACCTGTAATTTCACCTTTTCATACTTAAAACAACCTAATTCATCTTTGAATAAATCTTCATATGTACTTAATAACTCAGTTAAATTATTACTCTCTATTTTGTTTACATGTTGATCAAATGTAATTTGTATTTTAAAAAGTTTTATTAAGTCTCTTCCTACTAATGGAGTACTCCCGTTTTTAACAATGACTAACTTACACTTATGCATAATATCCTGATATTTGACTTCTGCAAGAAATTCTCCTTCCGGAGTAATCAATGAACCATTATAGCATTTTAATCTAGTATTGGTAGGTTTTAACCAGGTTTTATCAAATTTCTGTTTAAAAATATTGTCTGGTATCACTGATATACCAGCTCCGGAGTCTATCTCCATTAATAGGGGCTGACCATTTATAAATAATTCTATTTTAGAAGGTTTAACATATTCATTACTTACATAGTACATTTCAACATAATCAATTGTCTCTTCTTCTTTTCGCTGGAATTGTTCCTCCTCAATTGCCTCCACTGACACGTAATTGCTTCTTTTCCCAGGACATATTTGAGCCAAATGCCCTATTTTGCTACATAATCTGCAACGATATGTCTTATAACGACAAGCTGAAAACACATAATTCCCTTTTCCACAGTGCTGGCATTTTGAATTCTGCATTGTGTTGTTTTCTCTAATTCTTTGGTTCTGGTTGGCCCCTGCTGTTTGAGACCTTCTCACTGAACCTACTGCATGGATCTCTGTGATACAATTTACTTGTTCAAAAGTTGACTCTTTTTTTAAAGCTATCTCCACCAAAGCCTCAAAACTTAGGGTATGTTCTTCTTCACATAAACGATCCAATATAGGCCCCTTCTTTAGTCCTGTGATGAACTTATCTTTAAGTACAGAACTCAATATATTACCAAACTTACATTTACTCGCTTTGCTTTTTAGACGAGCATACCACTGCCGTATAGTTTCTTTCTCTGCTTGCTTTAATTCGTAAAAGCTAATTCTCTCTTTGAACACTGATATTCTTCTAGTAAATTGTTTCTGTAGAATTGTACATAGCTCAACATATGTTTTGTCTTTTGGTTTGACTGGATCACATATGTCCCGTAAAGTTTTATAAGCTTGTTCCCCAATCAGTGTAAGTAGAACTGATACCTTCTTGTCTTCTTCTACGTAGTTTGCACAAAAATACTGCTCAAGGCGTTCTTCCAATGTGGTCCAATCGTCTCCCAATCTGAATTCTGCCATGGATCCAATGGTAGTTCTTAACACTGTTGGCACGAAGCCTTCCGCCATTGCTATATGTATTTATTTTTCCTCGTCGCCAATTGTAATGTATTGAAACCCAGTACTTGTTACTTAAATCTCTTTATTACTTGCTGCCATTTTACATCTTAAGAATTAGGTTAGTTCTTTTCATTTTTTATTGACAGATAGTCCATATCTTATTTTGGCCTTGTATGTAACACTATTACAGCCAGTAGCTGTCTACTCTATTAGTTGCGACACTACAATAGTCCCACACCCCAAATCAGTAGAAAATCTTACAAAAAACTGTTATTACTGACGGGCCCACTTTTTAATGTCAAACTGTACAATTATAAACTGTGAATAGTTCTTATATTATTTTATGTCTTAAATTTCAAAAAAATTAAAAATTAAGTTCCTTACTTTCAGGGCTAAGGTTAGTTTCTTGTGACATGTCTACTCTTTTTAATGATTGTGCAGCTGCATGTATGTGTTTACACATATTAAATTTGATACTTGAGTCCATACAAATACAATAAAATTTGTGAATATAAATGCCACAATCTTCACATTTTAGTGTGGACATACTACTTTCAACATCCCTATGTGTATAATAAAGTTCTGTTAAACTCATTGAAGAAACAGTGAAAGTATCGTCTGTTCTGATGATTGAGTTTCCATCTATTTTAACAGATTTATTGTGTCTTACTTTGATATTTGAAAAAGTTGTACAGAGCTTGCATAGTGAAGTCTCTCCAAGTGCATATTTGTGTTTAGTTGTGCCTATAGCAATATGCCCAAACTTGTGGATTTTTGGAATATTGTTTAAAATATAGAAAAAACTCAGACATCTCAGAATTTTGACTTTGATTATGCAAAAACTCAATGATCATCCTTTCAAAAAGCCTTTTCATCTCTTTCTTGAAAAAGAACTCTTAGTTGTTTGTATACAAGAGCCTGAAATGTAAAATTATGAAATAAATCGTAAAAAATCAAAATTAAAATACATACACGAGTTTCTTTTGATATTATTTTTGAATTAATATTCTTTCTTCAAGCTTTATCTACGTGCCATGTGCAATATAACCTAAAACAATCAATCAAAAAGCATACTTGACAAAAATGATATTTATCAATGTAACTACTTACCGCTTATCTGGTGCTCCCATTGTTTGGAGTCATACATTAAAATATGTCTCTGTCATATCTGACATAAAAGCTTTACACTTTATAACTCCAATTTGTTTCTTAATTTCAGAAAAAATTAAACCAAAACTTTATGATCTAAACGATTAGAAATTAGAAACCCACAATGAAAGCCTTCTCAATCAATTGTGTGAAGTTCACAATCATAGCTATTAGTTCCATGTGTGCCATCTAAGCATATAATGTTAAAATTGTGGATAATCCTCATAACAAACACCTTGAGGCTTATAAAAAAAACACATTCTCCCTGCTCTTCATGGAATTAACCCAAGTTTCTATACTTATAGCATCATTTTTGTGCCATGTTTGTGGATGTGCAAGTTGATAAGAATGCTCAATATTAAATAAATCCTTTTTAGTAGTCAAGTGAATTCTTTTTAAATTTAAATCAATCACAGAGTCTCTAATGTCATCCAAAATATTATTGAATGATATTTTTTGGGCAATCTTTTTGCAATCTCTTCTTTTTCTTGCTCTGTCAATGTCATGTGTGTTAATTCAGATCTGTGCCCCACATGCGTTTTAACAAATTTGGCAATACAACTCCCTTAAAAAATGTAATTAATATTATTTACCCCAAAAACAAAAAAATATTTACCATTTGTCTTTATTACTAAATTTATAGATGAAGTCCAAGTTGCATTAATTTTCTTACTGCCTTGAAGCTTTAAGTGGCTCTTTTTCTCATCACCTGATTTATATATCGACTACATATATTTTATAATAGTATGATGCTTGGTGGACTTTGTTTTTGTTTTGCAAAACTGACTGTGTCATTCTTCCTCAACTTTGTTTCTCCATTCTTGAAATTCTGCTACTGATGCAAAAGTGAATTCTTCTGTCTCTATTTTTATATCATGACAACTACTAAGGTGATTTAACATATTACTGGTAAATCTTGATTTATATGTTTTATAGCACATAGCACAAATGTTATTTTCTTTACTTTTCAACGGAGATGTTATATTATTATTATTAACACTCAAAGTCTCGTTATGTGTGTGCTTTAAATGTGACCTCAAATGGTGTTGAAAATGACCTCAAATAATGTTAAAGAAGGAAACTTTATATCTGAATCATTCCCAATAACAAAGAAGCTTAAACAAGAATGTTGTCTATCCCCAACCTTATTTAAAATATATATTTAATCATCGCTAGAGCAGTAGAGGAAACAAGTATTCGGAATGGGAATACACATAGGCGGTGGTAAATGTCTAATAACTTAATTTTTCGCAGATGATCAGTAGTCGTAGCGAATGATAAGGAAGACATGGACTACATGTTTAGAAAACTAAAGAAAGAATACGAAAAATGGGGCCTCAATATGAATATATCAAAGACAAAATATCTTAAAATAGGAGATGATAAAGAAGATCCAGAGTTAGAAATTAGAAACACAAAAACATGCAATGAATATAAGTTCTCTTAATGTACTTTCTTAGACCATTATGACAGGTTTTAAAAATGCAGAGAATGAGAAATGTAAAATAAGGTGTAAATGTAAAATTTAACAGATACAATAAATCAGTACCTCTAAGAAGGAAATCTCAGTAAAAAAGTATTATCGTAAATTCTAAAAGCAATAATGAAACGAGAAAGACCTTCATCATACTTGAAGCAAAGAAATCAATTTAGGTATGAAGGAGTAAAGCGTAGAGGAGCAGTTATTGGCGAGAGAGGAGGACATGGAAACTGGAATACTGCCTGTATACACCTAATGTTATTCAATCCTTTTTTTCTTCAACCGATTATTAAGTAAAATTTTATTAACAATAATTTATTTGTACAAGATAATATATCAAAATCATTTTAAAAAACATGCCAATTTGGTGTGATTTACGAATGTGCCATTTTGTATTCGTTGGGCCACACAATACTCTCAATCCAGTCAACGTAATAAGAAACCCTCGTGTATATGGATGGAGTTCGAGTGATACCACATGCTTTACCAAACGATGTGATTCCAACTATTGTAAAACCTTTTCCATTGCCATATTTTAATTTATTTTTGACTTGAAGAGGTCCTCCTGAATCTCCCTACAAAAAATAAAGACTTTAGATAAATACATTTAACGGTTAATATATTTATGTAAGAGTGAGGACAAAATGTGAAGAATAGAAGAATGACTTTTTATAATACAAAATAAACCAACACAACGGTATACAAACACTACAAATGAATCAGAAACGAAACGAATACTTTAGTTAGACAAATAAAAGGGGAACACTGGCAGACTTTCTCAAAACAGATGGAACACGACTTTTACGGAACACAACAAGGAAATATGAAAAATGTTCAGAAGACAAAAACTACACGAACGAACCAATAAAAACATTCAGATGGAACCCGTAGACTACATTCGATACTTATTTGCTAAAGCTGACGATAATGAACCACCAACACTAGAAGTGACGACAAACAAAGAAATAATTATTGAGGAGGTAGAGGTTAAGGAACATTAGGAAAATTAAAAAATAGAAAATTAGAAAGAGAGAATAAAACACCGAATAAACTCCTAAAGTGTAGAGGACTAGATCTGACCAAACAACTATTAAAACTAATCCAAAAAATAAGAGAGCAAAAAAGTATACCACAAGAGTGGAGATCGAGTATCATAATACCTGTCTTCACAGAAAAAGACGTATCGGACCCGGAAAATTACATAGAAATTAATTTGTTAAAGGCAACACTAAAATTAACAACCTAAGTAAAAACATTATAACCTTAATGAAATTAGAATACTAACAGAAGAACAACGAAATTATAGGTCGATAATATCATGCATCAACGCCATATTTTTAATAAGGCAAGTGCAAGAGAAATCATTCGACTATAACAAACGGACATATTTATGTTTCGTGGAGCTTAAGAAGGACTTTAACAGAGTTAAACTAAAAGATGTTATTCACTTATAGACTAGGCGGCATCTGTAGAAATTCAGACCATAATGGAAATTTTCCATAGGAAGCTATTTTTTTGGTGGAATCCCTTTAGGATACGCCCAGTATCGATAATAACGATATGCGCCAGTCGCAAACCCTGTGCTAAATTTTTTATCTAACAAAATCTGAAAACAAATTCATAATTCATTTATAATTCGGAAAATATTAATCCTAGAGAAAAAATTATAAGAAGTTAAAAGTTTCGCTATTCAATTTTACACAATATTTCGTTAGCTAGAAATTGAAAATGTAATGTTTATTGTTAAAAAAATAGCAATAATTGGAAAAAAAAGTACAAAAAAATGAAGTTAATCCTTTAAATGTTTTCGACTTTCTAAACTTGACTTACAAGTTCCATATTCCGCGTAGAAAAACTTTTTAATATGTTTAAAACGTTTGCTAAATTTTGTTAAGATCGGTCGGATAGGTTTTGCATAATAATTTTGCAATCCAACCTACTGGAAAAAAATCGCAAATTTTCAAATTCATAGTAGGTCCTAAATAAGGCCCTCAGATAGTTGCATTTTTTTTACATATAGAGGAAGTCTCAAACTTTCAATCACTTTTTGTAAAATTCAAATCGGTTCACTAGGAGAGCCTAAAAATTTTTTTAAAGTTATAAACAATTTTTAGGGTTATAAACAAATTAAATAACTTTACGAGCTTTAAACATATCAATTTCAAAATGTATACACTTAAAGAACGTTAAAAAAAGCTTCTTTTAAAAAACAAAAAGATACATTCGGCTTACTGGTTGCCGAGATATTGAAGGTCAAAGTTGGCATACATTTGCCATGTAACCATAAGTGATAGAGGGCTCGTTTTTAAACAAATACCCTCGTCTTGCCAAATACTTTTTATATGAAAAGTTTTACGTAATGCGCTTTATGGCAACATCCATAAAAAAGACAAATAAAAAACCGTTTTCGCGTAAAATGTCGTACGGGATGCATGAGAGGTGGTGGTGAGGGACATTCACTTCAAATGTGAATCGGTGAGTATCAAGTAGGGGACGATCAGTTTGTTTAATTTCGGGTTTTGAAATAAAAACAAATAGTAAAGTGCTCCAAAATCTGTAAGGGCTTGTATTGAAGGCTTGTATGTTATACAAGTAATTGCATTTTTCTTCATGTTTTTTTTTAGCTTGCAATTTATAGATTAAAGTAAATTGTTACTTTTAGTAAACAAATATGTATTTATAAATTGTTAATAAATAATTTGAATTGTTAAAACGAAGAATTTTTTTTTTGTAAAAATCAAACATTTTAAAATAATTAACATTAAAAATAATTTATTTCTGCAGTTTTATCATAATAATGACATTATTTGATTTGAGAATATATTTTGACTCGAAAGTGACGTGTATATTGTATATTGACGTGTTATTATACTGCTGTGTAATGCTCGAAACTGTTTTTTTTTTGAGCTTGCAATTTATACATTGAAATAAATTGTTACTTTTAGTAAACAAATATGTATTTATAAATTCTTAATAAATAATTTAAATTGTTAAAACAAAGGCGAATGAAAAAAAAAATATATCTTTTCTTAAATAAACTTTATTTTGACTCAATCTTCAATAATTTTTTTAAGTCTTTTTCTTTTTTTGGAAGGACAAGAATCTTCAAGTCTTATTTCTTCCTCAAAACCTTCATTTTCCATTTCGATATCTTCATCCTCGATCTGTTAATTTAATGTTTCTTCTTCTTCATTTGTAGCTTTATCTTGTACCTCCAAAAAATCTAAGGAATCAATCGACTCCATATCCATATCTCGTTCAACTTCTTCCAATATTTTACTGTGATCAATATTTTTACATGTTTGACCATTGCAGTGAAGATAATAGTCAGAACATTTGAGACCATATTTGATACAACTGCATGTTTTTGTACAAAGTTTTTTACATTTGCAACTAATATTTCTGAATAATCAGTCAGGTAGTAATACTTGCTTAGTTTGTATTGGCTCAAGACCATTTTGAGTTAGTTCCCACCCCCACTCAGTAGCATTCAGGTTATTTCCAAGCCACTGCTGTACTTGAAAATATACACTAAGCGAGTGTTGCTCAGCTGCAGATTGTGTAGGTGGCAGTATGGACAATTGAAAATTTTTATTTTTGCAACCTTTTTTAAAGCACAAGTAGCGAATTCATCAGAATTTATACATACATATTTGTTTACTAAAAGTAACAATTTACTTCAGTGTATAAATTGCAAGCTCAAAAAAAACATGAAGAAAAAATGCAATTACTTGTATAACATACAAGTCTTCATTATAAGCCCTTACAGATTTTGGAGCACTTTACTATTTGTTTTTATTTCAAAACCCGAAATTAAACAAACTGATCGTCCCCTACTTGATACTCACCGATTCACATTTGAAGTGAATGTCCCTCACCACCACCTCTCATGCATTCCGAACGATATTTTACGCGAAAACGGTTTTTTATTTGTCTTTTTTATGGATGTTGCCATGAAGCGCATTACGTAAAACTTTTCATATAAAAGGTATTTGGCAAGACGAGGGTATTTGTTTAAAAACGAGCCCTCTATCACTTATGGTTACATGGCAAATGTATGCCAACTTTGACCTTCAATATCTCGGCAATTAGTAAGCCGAATGTATCTTTTTGTTTTTTAAAAGAAGCTTTGATATGTGCTTCGTGCTGAGTGCTTTGATAAAAAGAAAATTGATATGTTTAAAGCTCGTAAAGTTATTTAATTTGATTATAAGCCTAAAAATTGTTTATAACTTTAAAAAAAATTTTAGGCTCTCCTAGTGAACCGATTTGAATTTTACAACAGTGTTTGAAAGTTTGAGACTTGCTTTATATGTAAAAAAAAATTGCAACTATCTGAGGGCCTTATTTAGGTCCTACTATGAATTTGAAAATTTGCGATTTTTTTCCAGTAGACTGAATTGCAAAATTATTATGCAAAACCTATCCGACCGATCTTAACAAAATTTAGCACACGTTTTAAACATATTAAAAAGTTTTTCTAGGCGGAATATGGAACTTGTAAGTCAAGTTTAGAAAGTCGAAAACATTTAAAGGATTAACTTCAATTTTTTGGTCCTTTTTTTCCAATTATTGCTATTTTTTCAACGATAACCATTAAATTTTTAATTTCTAGGTAACAAAATATTGTGTAAGATTGAATAAAGAAACTTTTAACTTCTAATAATTTTTTCTCTAGGATCACTATTTTCCGAATTATAAATGAAAATAAGAGCAAAAAAATAAGAAATTTTCAATTGTTTTCAGATTTTGTTAAATAAAAAATTTAGCACAGGGTTTGCGACTGGCGCATATCGTGATTATCGATACTGGACGTATCCTGAAGGGATTCCAGCAAAAAATATCTTCCTACGGAAAATGTCCAATTCAAAACAGATCCCGCCTAGACTATTATTATGTCCAAGAGATATACCTCTGAGAATAATCAAAACTATCGAAAATATCTACCAATACAACATAAAAACTAACTGACCCAATTTATGCTGATAATGTTATCAAACAGGGAGATTCCCTGAGTGATTTCTTGTTCAATCTGATCATGAATGAAAATGGGATACCATTATACCAACTAAAAAAGGATTTCAAATGGGAGAACAACAACGACAGAATACTATTCTCTTAAAGTGAATATGATTTAAAGTTATGCTGCACTAATTAAATATAATTACTTAAATGTAATAACTAATTAAATATAACCGCCAGAAAATTTAAGATGATAATTTCCTTAAAAACACAAAATTTAGTAAGATGTAAATAGAAGCCGGAAGGTCAGAAGGTCAAGAAAAAATTGAAAGGCAGAATTTACAAAACAGTCATCAGACTGATACTGACATACGCTACAGAAACACAACCTGACACAGAAAGGACAAGAAGAATGTTAGAAACAACAGAGATGAAAACTCTTAGAAAAACAAAGATAAGACACTATGAGACAGAGCAAGAAATACAGATATAGGACGTAGATAAAAGGTGGAAAACACCAAAGACTGGGTAAAAAATAGAAGAGTAGAATGAAACGATCATATAGGCCGAACGACAACAGAGTCGAAAAGACGTCTAAAGATGGCTTCCCAAT